TTGCGGATGATGTCAAAATGACAGGGTTTAGCCTGCAAAGGGACCTAGACGTAGTCCATCGATGGTCGGTCAAGTGGGACCTACCTTTGAATCTAAACAAGTGTAGGCTCTTAGCAACGAGAGTGCGGGTATACTCGCTGAATAGAGCTCCCTTGCAGCAGACCCCGCAGATGAGGGACCTAGGAGTTCTTATGACCCAGGATTTTAAACCATGAACTTAGTGCTCCGAGGCTGCAAATCAGTCTAGGGGGCAGATGTTCAGGCTGTGTGCTACAGTAACATGCAGACGACCTGAGGTGTTTCTCCCCCCCGTATAAGTCGATTGTTAACCCACACATGGAATATTGTATGCAGACATGGGCACCGTATTAGAAGTGGGATGCATCATGTTTAGAAAGAGTGCTGCACCTAGCTACCCGAATGGTGCCTGGTCAAAGGGGGAAGAGCTATGAGCAGCGGTTGAGGGATCTTGATCTCTTTTCGCTGGAGCGTGGAAGAGTGAAGAGAGATCTGATAGAGACTTTCAAAATTGTAAGAGGTCTATCGGGACTCAACCTAAATGACTTGCTTACGATTTCTGGTGTTCAGAACACGAGAGGTCATGGCTATAAACTTCAGCAGAACCACGCCAGGTTTGAAGTACGGGCCAACTTCTTCGCACACAGAGTCATAACTATGTGGAACAGGTTACCTAATGAGGTGGTCAACTGCACCAATGTTAACACCATTAAGGTGGCCCTGGGCGCATGTTGGTCAGCGACGTTCCCCGAAGTTAGCATTTAGAGTGGGAATATGAAGAATAAATTCTGCTTTAGCCGGAAGCTTTGAAATGGTGCGAACTCGGGGTTGACTGTTAGAATTATTCTAAAACTGACTATCCTGTCACATGTGATCTGTGTATACAAACGCATGTGCTTGAGGTCTCTAACCAATGAGCCGAAGATATATCCTTGTTTGCTTTTCTCCCTTTCAGCATACCCCCAAGAAGTCAACGTTTTAGCAAAGGGGTTGAATTGAGAGGATCACAAACACCTCATCAACTGTACTCTGTGTTGGAAGCTACTCCCATCTGCCAACAACACAACGAACTGGACGCTCGATTGACAAGAGCCATATTAGTCCGGTGAAAACTGAACCGAACTGATTTGAATTTGTTTTGACCCGATTTGATTTGACCATAAGGGAAGCTGTTCCAAAGGAAGAAATTGGCTGTGGTCAAGCAAGAAGTTGAAGCTCCGGAAGAACGTGGTTTCGGCTGGAGCAAGAATCTGGACAATCGGTTGACGAAAGCCTTCATCGTCCTGTGCCATCTGACATGACTTGCCGCGCGCTTTGAAATTTTGAAGTGCTCTGTTTTGGCTAACTTTATCGTTGTTACAGTGAAATCACGTCAGTTATTTTGCAAGTTTTACGCAGTTTTAGTACATCAGAGTTATATTTAGTTATCCGGAGTTTATATTCTCCGAAGTAAATATTTTCGCATCTTTCTTTCCGTTTTGCCTTTGCTGTGTAGTTCACCCGAAGTTTACATTCTTAAAAGTATTACGAATTATTTTGTAGTCTTCTTTGGGTAAATTATGCCATGAGTGTCCTATACGTGTCTCAATAAAAAATGCGGTAAAGGCGTAGTTAAGGGAATTGAGTGCCATGTGTGTCAGAAATGGACCCATCCAACGTGCTTCGGTATCCATGCAGAAGTGTATTTACTGTATTGCCAGAGTAAGTGGGCCGAGTGGGTATGTATACGCTGCAAGGAAGCGGCATGGCTTGCGTTCCAACATGAGTCGTGTAAAGTAGAAACACCATACAGAGAGAAAATCCCTGAACAAAATCGCTACCCGCGGCCGCAGCGCATCGATCATACGCCGGGGGTGCCGGTTCTCCTGCGGAAATGTGTTATCGGGACGTCCAGGCAATTTCTCAGTGGCGTTTTCCTCTACTCCGGTACGACAAGTCGTCAGCGGAGTAGGAATAAAGGTAGCTGGGAAAGTGCAGCAACCGGTTAAGAGACCTCGAGCAAAGAAGCAGGATAAAGAGTCGGGAACCGGTCACCCGAAACTAAAAGCCCTCGAGAGGCACGTTATGGATCTGCAAAGGCAGATTCATACGATGAATAAGTCATCCGGGCGAAGGCTTCAGATACTTAACCGGGAGGAGCCTTATATAAGGGAGGCCAAGACCCGGAGAGTTGTACCGTAGAAAGGTGTTAGACATCTTGCGTCTAGTAGGTATCTTGCATCCTGGAGGTATTAAAAGGGTCCATCGGGTGGGAACGTATGAAGCTCAGAATCTCAATAGAAATGGCCCGCCTGCGCGACCAATTCTAGTAGAGTTCGTTGCAGAACAAACTAGGGATCTACTGCTGGCCCGATCTGTGTTGGTGGTCTAATGGACAAGAGGTCGATATCAGATCGCACCAGACGGACCCAGTGGGAGTCGCAAGAATGCTTAAGTGCTCGAGAAGTGGGTATGAATCCTGACAAACTAAACGACCAGGTCGAAACTCAGAGGATATCTTTCGGAAATCGCATACCTGGGGTACCAACGGGAGTCGTGGTCATTTAGGATGTCCTAGAAGACGAGCAGTGGCGAAGTTGCCTGCAAGAAGACAGCTCAGACGCAGGGGCTTCATTAAGGCCAAACAAAGAGCCACCAGCTGAGGTGGCTCACCAAAAAAAACCTGCAGGATACAAATACAGCGGAAAAAACTTGCTGTCTCCTCGGGTGCTGCGCCGGAGGCCCAAGCAAGAAGCATCTATGGGAAACGCATAGTAACGGAGGACAGCATATTCATGCTGTACACCAACTCATGCAGCCTTAGGAATAAATGGCCAGAACTGTCTCAGATAGCCTGAGAACAGAAGGTTTGTAGTGGCAGTCATCGAAACATGGTTGAGTGATACAGATCATGTACCACAGACAGTCCAGGAGTCGTCCTCTGTCTACCGGCAGGACAGAAATCAGGTATATGCTGGAGGGTGAGTGGCAATTTTGATTAGAGGAGGCATAAACCATATAAAATCAGAGACCATTCTCTGCACGAGAAATGTGTAGTTGGGCACAGTAACCCTAATACACAAGAATAGAAGGGTCAACGTAGTGTGCTTATCGTGCACCAAGTACAAACCTTGAGGAAAATAGTCAACTGCTGGGTGCCCTCACGAGGATAGCAAAGGAAGCTAACAAAGCTACCATTTTTGGTGACTTAAACCTACCATATATAGACCGGAGGTCTCAGGCACCCGAGGAATAGCAGAAGAGGACTATATTAAATGGCTGCATGAAAACGCCCTATGGCAACCTGTTAGGGAAAGCACTAGATTCAGGTCAGGTAATGCTCCGTCCCAGTTAGATCTAGTGATCACCACACACCAAAATGGTACCATGGAGATACAGCCGCACCCACCGCTTGATAAAAGCGACCACGTTATCCTATCGATCAAAGTGTGCATGCGGCAAGCTAGGGGACCATCCAAGCTCATCAGAAATTTCGGCTGTATGGATCCAGGGAATCTTAAAACCAGGACATCGGAGTTGGTTAGGGATGCTCCGGAAGGGTTTTTAGTGTAGAAGATCACTGGATCTTAATGAGGAAGGCCCTCGTACTGGAAGAGCTTTAGGGTTTTCGGGAATCAACAGGCGTGGATTCGTTATAGAACGTGTAGAAATGAGGTGGTTAGGCTAATAAGAGAAAAAACGCAATATAAGCTTTAGCTGGCTCAATGCGCCAAAATCAAACCAAAGAGATACTATAGCTACATTCAGTCCAAAGGAGTACTGGGAGGGAGTATAGGACCATTATATATAGGTGTTGCAGCAGTCGTTTTGGATGACCAGGGTAAGGAAGATGCCTTGGCCGGCTATTTTGGGAGTGTACGTCGACTGGATGACAGTTTGCCGAGAACTTTGGAGCTAGGAATATCCCCGCCAGAAATTGGGGGCTACAGTTATCGGAAGAGATAGTGCGGCAGAACTTGGATGGCCTAGATGTCCATAAATCTGCCGGACCGGAAAAGATTCATCCTGCAATAATCAAGCCCATAGCAGACATCCTCGTCGGACCGGTATATAAGTTATTCAAGGCGTTATTAAATCAGGGTGTCCTACCGAGGGACCGGAATGTAGCAGCGATTGTAGCCATATAAAAGGAAGAAGCCCGTTCAGAGTTAGTTAACCATAGGCCAGCTATTCTAACTAGTATTTTGTGTAAGTTGCTAGAAAAGATTGTTCACACCCATATATGCCAACACCTAACACAGCATTCTATGCTGTGTCCAACTCAACACGGGTTTCTCAAAGGTAGATCCTGTTTGACTAATCTACTGTGCTTCTTGGACGAAGTTACCAGAAGATTGGACTAGGGGCGCAGAGTAGATGTATGTTATCTTGACTTTAGTAAGGTGTTTGACTCGGACAACCAACACCTGCTATTAGTCAAAATAGAGGCGTTCGGTGTAAGGGGACAAATACACACATGGATGAGAGACTTCGTCACTAACGGGACCTTCTACGTCAAAGTAGGTGACAAGTGCTCCCGTACAGCATCCTTCACAAGTGGTATACCCCAGGGCTCCGTGCTATGTCCTTTGTTGTTCCTACTATTCGTAAACGACCTCGCTGCGGTACTGAGATCCCCAACCTTTTTCCTCGCCGATGATTTCAAGGTGGTTGGATCTAAAGGAAGAGAGAACCTGTGATGTGTAACACTGACCTCGAAATTCCTTGTGCACTTTAAATGCATTGAATATGCATAGTATACGATTAGAATAAAGTTCGTGTGCTATTCTATTAGAAGCTGTTCTATTTCGGGGATTGGTCTTGCGCCAATTCTGGAATCCCATTTTGAATACTATTCCAAATACTACATTTAGCTTCACGGCCGGTCTACTGAACAATTAATTTTACTTCACTAGAAACTCTTGACCTTAACTGCAGTGCACGCCATATCGAGGATTATTTTGAACGTTTTGAGATTTGGTGGTTCACCCGTTCAAAGCCCGATGAGGAAAGGAAATCCGCTTTTTTTGAATGCTGCCGGTAAAAATGGTTATACGTTAATCAAAAACTTGGCTTATCCTTCTCCACCTGTTTCTTTACCGTACGATGATTTAAAATCCCTGCTCCTACAGGATGTGAAACCAACGAACTTCGAAGCCTCAGAACGAGCAACATTTCATTCAATGGTACGCAATCCGAATCAGGACATCCGTGAATTCATCTTGGATTTGCTCACTCAAGCTGCAAAGTGTGATTTTGGAGATTTACTGGACATGCAATCGAAAGATCGGCTGATCGCTGGCATCAACAATACCGTTTTGCAAAATGAACTTCTGAAGCTATCCAATCCGAAGTTCAAAGATGTGCGGGCTTATTGTAAACGATATCAGGACATTCGCTCCGCTATTTCATTCATGCCGTCCACCATTGAATCTACAGCTATGTTCAATTCACTCAAGACTAAATCCACGAAAGCTCATGCTACATCCGGACGTTTCAAACCAGTTGCACAATCTAACTCACACAATGTGACATATTCGGATAAATTCTATGGCAATTGTGCATCCTGTGGCAAACGTCATTCCAGATTCACATGTCGATTTCGTTACGCTTTATGTCATAAGTGTGGCAAAACTGGCCATATTCAGTCTGTTTGTCGCAGTACCAAAACCTGTCGTTTAATTCAAGCCCGAAACTCAGAAGTGAGTAATATGGCCAAACATTTTTCTTCTTTATCTTTGGCAATTACCTCCCATTCCGGTCACATCCGTAAACAACTATTTAGTTCTACTAGTAATTTGCTTCATTTCATTTTGGACACTGGTAGTGTGGAATCTCTAATTTCTAATCATGATCTTAAACTGCTTGCTCTAGATGCTAAACTTCAGCCGTCCACTGTCACCATTAATGGCATCACTGGACACTCACTGCCTGTTGTTGGTTCTTGTGAGATTTCAGTCAGTGATGAACATTCTAAAACTGTTACTTGTACATTCATTGTAACCAAATCTGGCCCATCCATACTAGGCTTGAAAGCCATGCAAGCATTAAATGTCAATCTTTCCTTACTAACCTCTATCGATACTGAAAATGAATTGAAGGATTTGATTATTAAATTCTCAAAGGTCAGTGGTGGCATGAAAATTTCCCCAGTGAGACTACCAGTTAATGGCGATCCAGTATTTCTTAAACGCCGAGTCATTCCATATGGCCTTCGCGAACCTGTCATGAATGCGTTGAACAACTTGTGTTCCAAAGGTGTTATAGAGAAGGTGTCGTCTTCTGCATGGGGTACACCAATTGCCACACCACTCAAGTCGGATGACAAGACCCCGAGAATATGTGGTGACTATCGAATCACCTTAAATCCAAGACTGTTAAAGCGGACATGTACAACGGTTGAACCAGAGGACATCCTGAATCAGTTGACTGGATCTAAGATCTTTCCAAGATTAACTTAAAGGATGCATATTTACAAATTTCGTTGGATGAAACATCATCCACTTTGACAACTATTAATACTCCTTTTGGTTTGTACAGATACAAGTTTCTGCCATTCGGTTTATCCCTTTCTCCTGCCATATTTCAACAAGTTCTGAACGATATTACTGGTGGTATGTCTTGTGTTGAAGTATATCAAGATGACATTATTGTTCATGCTCCTGACAAGTCCACTCATGACGCACGATTGCTTGAACTCTTTCGTAGATTTTCTGATAAGAGTGTTGCTGTTAATCCTAAGAAATGTTTAGTCTCTGTCTCTGATTTTGAATTTCTTGGATACTTAGTTAATGGTAAAGGGTACAAATCTGACCCTAACCGTCTATTTCCTCTAACAAAAGCCAAATCACCATCTAACATACAAGAACTCAGATCATTGATTGGAGCCCTACAGTATTACTATCAATTTATCCCTAATTGCAGTCACAAAGCTATACCCATATTTCTTCTCTCTTCTTCTGACAAATTTGTTTGGACTGATGTTCATGAACGTTGCTTACGTGAATTGCTAAATGTTCTGAAGACTGATGCGGTGCTTCACCCATTCAATGCCAAAATTCATTCCACCGTTATTACTGATGCCTCACCCGATGGAATTGGTGCGATTCTTGAGCAGAATGGGCATCCAATTATTTGTGTGTCTCGACGGTTACCAGCAGCTGAACGAGGCTNTTACTGGTGGTATGTCTTGTGTTGAAGTATATCAAGATGACATTATTGTTCATGCTCCTGACAAGTCCNGATAAGAGTGTTGCTGTTAATCCTAAGAAATGTTTAGTCTCTGTCTCTGATTTTGAATTTCTTGGATACTTAGTTAATGGTAAAGGGTACAAATCTGACCCTAACCGTCTATTTCCTCTAACAAAAGCCAAATCACCATCTAACATACAAGAACTCAGATCATTGATTGGAGCCCTACAGTATTACTATCAATTTATCCCTAATTGCAGTCACAAAGCTATACCCATATTTCTTCTCTCTTCTTCTGACAAATTTGTTTGGACTGATGTTCATGAACGTTGCTTACGTGAATTGCTAAATGTTCTGAAGACTGATGCGGTGCTTCACCCATTCAATGCCAAAATTCATTCCACCGTTATTACTGATGCCTCACCCGATGGAATTGGTGCGATTCTTGAGCAGAATGGGCATCCAATTATTTGTGTGTCTCGACGGTTACCAGCAGCTGAACGAGGCTATGCTCAAACTCATCGCGAAGCCTTATCGGTATACTGGGCAATCAAGCGCCTCCACAAGTTCCTTTTCGGTCATCACTTCACCTTCGTTACCGATCATGAGGCCTTTAAATTCATTTTCGATCCTGGAAAATCCCTTTCCAGAAGCTCTGCATCTATGGTTCAGCGTTGGAGTATCGCACTCAGTGCATATGATCACACAATTGAACATCGCAGTGCCAGATACATCCGACACGTGGATTGCATTTCGCATCAATCGCTACCCGCGTCGGAGCCAGAGGAAATTTCTGATTCACTACTAGTACAACCTCTCCCTGTGAGCCGCCAAGAACATATACGTGACACACGTCGTTATTTCTCTGCTGTGATGACTGACTTGCGGAAGGGTTGGAACGCCCAAACCCGGAAAAGAATTTCCACATCCCTATACTGGACGTGGTGAAATTTCACTTACCCCTGATGAAATACTGTGCGTGAATGACAGAGTTGTGATTCTTTAGTGATTAGGTGGTTGCTGATATTCGTCAGCACCTGTCACTAGTGTTTACTCACGTCTGTTTTGAATATTCGACCCAAATGGAAACAGAACCACAGATTGCGTTTATTGAAAACAATATATTCTGAGATCTTCAGAAGGATTGGAAGCAGATTTGGCTAGGCCTAGGCTAATATTTAAGCAACGGCAGCGGAAACCTGAAAGTAGATCTGGTCAATGCAACGGAAGCGTGCGATACAGAGCTCACCGTGGGGATTTGTGTCGGTGCACGCTTTTCGAGTTCATTAAAAGAACGCTAATAGTTAAAGTAAAACTGAATCCTGGAAATGTCCAAGTTGCTTTATCTAATAGAGAAACTTTCCTCAGAGTATAGCTATCGCCAACTAGTGGCGATGGATGCTAAACCTTTACGGTACACTTGGTTGTGTCCGGCGGACAAGGGCCCTTAAACGAAGAAGGGAAATACCTGACTGTAGTTTAGCTACCTGATCGATAAGCTAAGTCGCTACTTGATTTCTGAACCTTGATGGTTCTGATAGGTATTCCATGGTTATGTACCATGCCTTAATAGTCCTCAATTATACAGGACTGGTTAGAAACTGAACTTATCCTGCTGGGAGTCACCAGCGTAGGGTGAAAGTACTTCTGGTACGTGATTTGATGATCACGTCCAGCTTGAATGGGTCTATCAAGAAACTTGGAGAAAACAAGAGGTAAGAAAAGAAAACTGCCGTTGCGAAACTGTCGGTTGAAGAACCGCTGCATCAACCTCCCCTAGAAGGGTGGTGATAAGCAACTTTCGACCAGACAGTCGAGGTACCGACTTTTGGAGACACCGCTTTGTGGTCGTGTCTGTGGTGAAACCACAAACCAGATGTTATAACTAAGACCACAAGGGCCCCTGCTTTATGGCGCACGTTGATCTAGAGTGAAACTACCCGTTGGTTACCTCACGATACAAAGAAGGTGGATCCTCCGTTTGGGTTTCAAACAGTTTTGTCCAGTTTATGGTGCATGTGAAGGCTAATGC